AGAGACCCTGGCTGCCGCTGGTCACGTGCCTCCCAGATTCTGGGAGGTAAATTTAATTGTAACTGTGAGAGGGGTGGGAAAGGAGCGTGTTTGTAGCGTTTTAAAATTGCAACTTTGGGTGATGCAATTTACTGTAAATTTGCAACAAGAAATCGTAAAGAGAACTCTTGAATTAATATTTATATCGTGACGTTCTACTGTATAATCTGGTGTCGAGTTACAATTCAAGCAAGTTGGATCAGATTTCATTATAGACTTGCCAAAGAAAGCACGCTTGCCGCTTGTGCAGCGTGGCAATATTAAACCTACAAGAAAATATATATCTCTAGACCGAACAGTGTGGTTGTTATTTATTTAGTATTAAAGTCTATCCTGATACTCGGACCAAAAGAATTTATTTATTGATGAGATGTGGAATTGCAATGAAATAGCGAGATATTTTGATTTCCGAAATATCGCCAACTGTATCCAGATTGTTGATCTATATAAAGGCCTTACAAAAAAACTTAAATCCCGTCAAAAGACTATAAAATTGGCCCTTGGGCCTTGGCATAATGCTGAAACCAACGACCATGGTATATGTCAAAGTATTGCTGTCTGTTGAAAATCTATGGTATTAAAATCATACACCAAAGATAAGTCAAACGACAAATTATATGATCACTATATTATACATGTCTTTCAATGAACACTGTTTAGAACTGTTCACCACCTTTATAAATTTTGTAAACAGCTTTCGTTTTGACATGAATAAGCTTTAATTTTTTGCTTTATATGAATTCTTAATAATGCAAGTGAGATTTAAATGTTTGCTTTGTGAAATAGAATACCGTTATTTTTAATTAATGGACAGCTTGCATCGTCTATATCATATCCAGGATTGCTTGTGTGTAAACGCATTATTCACTATATGATACTATCAAATAAATATAAGTAGCAAATGATTAATGAATTAGAGATAAAGGGTCCTACTGAATACTGCCCGGAGCGCCCGGGGACGCCCGGGAGTGCCCGAGGACGCCCTGAAGCGCCCGGGAGCACGTGAGAACGCCCGGGATATACAAGATAATATAAATCAGTGCACGATCCTTTTTGAGTATCTATGAGGCATTATATTAATGAAAAATAACATTAAAAGTGATTTTCAACCAGCCTAGCAACAAGCAGTAAAAGCGCGGTCGCCCACGCAGGAAGTTATGCGAAACATGAGATTATATTTATTATAAATAGCCGAATTCATATTAGGGACGGGAAACTCGTCTTAGACGGGAAACTCGTCTGCGAAAACCCGTCTAAATATGAATTTAGGGACGGGTAAATTCGAATTTAAGACGAGTTTCCCGTCTAGATGAGATTCCCGTCTAACTTTCCCGTCTGTTTGGTAAGTTAGACGGGAAAGTTCGGACGGGAAACTCGTCTGCGCCCGGATTCATATTAGACGAGTTTCCCGTCTGAGACGAGTTTCCCGTCTAAGACGAGTTTCCCGTCTCTAATATGAATTCGGCTAATGTAAATATTTGCTGTTATTAAATTAAACAAAGTTAAATAAAAAATTAAGACTAGTTTTGTTTTAATATATCCAGTATCAACTGCTGAGAACAAGTCAATTGTCTTTTGGCGGCTTTCGAAAAATTTTTGTCGTTAAGATTAGGACAAATAAAAAACATTACTAATTAAATTGGCGTATATAAACTCATAAAAGCATTCCGCGTAAACAAAACGCAGTTTTCAGCCTAAATATTAGTAAAATATAGTGTTATCAATGCTTTTTATCTACTCTAAAGTATAGCTTAGGATATCTTTTAGTCTTTCATCTTCTCTTTTTAGACTTAATAGTTTATGAGCTTTTTTGTTTTTGACTTTTATGTATAGTCATAGATCTCGGTAATCTTATTGACAAAAATTTTTCGAAAGCCGCCAAACGACAATTGACTTGTTCTCAGCAGTTGATATATTAAAACAAAACTAGTCTTAAATTTTTATTTAACTTTAGTTTAATTTAATAACAGCAAATATTTACATTTATAATAAATATAAATATAATCTCATGTTTCGCACAACTTCCTGCGTGGGCGACCGCGCTTTTACCGCTTGTTGCTAGGCTGGTTGAAAATCACTTTCAATGTTATTTTTCATTAATTAATGCTTCATAGAGACTCAAAAAGGATCGTGCACTGATTTATATTATCTTGTATATCCCCGGGCGTTCTCGCGCGCTCCCGGGCGTCTCCGGGCAGTATTTAGTAGGACCGTCGTATGACGCCAATGTCGGCAATGACGGTCTGTGCGCATCTGACACTGTAAATTTGTGATATAGATCAGTATATGTTAACACAATATAATGATTAATAGAGACCAAGAAAAAGGCTAAAGTCTTACTATAATTACCGAATACGAATTATGTACTAAACCAGATAAATCAATGACTGAAATTTCCTCTATGCTTATGGACATTTCTCTGTTCGGCTATTATCAAATGTTTACATTTGCTAATATTGGGCCAGTCCTAGACAATACTGTTTCTTTTAAAAATCTTATAAACAAGACGCGTAGTAACAAGTGAATCGGTGCAAAGCGTATCAACGTTTACACAAGAAAGGACGAATGTAATGGCGTATTTTAAAAACATTACAATAAACGTTTGTTATAACCGCGCTCGAGTGTGAAGAGAGTATGCATTGAATAACAACACGAGAGAGCACTGCGAGTAACGATTTGCTTGGTTTCTTGACTTCACTGTAAGTAAGAATGTAAGAATGTTCTTGTAAATTCAAAGCAAAGAAAATAAACAAAAATTAGCAAGTATTTTGAACGTAATAATTCGCAAAATTTATGTTTTTAACCCAGTGGAAGCATGTTGATGTAATTTGATACTTTCCCCACACCCCCTCGGGTGCTAAATTTTTGATGAGGCACGTGACCAGCCGCAGCCAGGGTCTTTCCCAAAGAAAGATCCTGGGTACGAGGTTGAAGGAAATATTGGGCTCTGGCAAGAAAAAACGGCAGGAAATCCTTTTTGGAATGAAATTGGCAGAAAATATAATGAATTGCCAAGATAATGGCAGGAAACTATTAGATTCCAACCATTGAGGCTTAATAAGAACCTAAAACAAGGGACCTTAAATAAAAGCCTATTCAATGCCTTATGGTTTCTAGAAGGTTCCTAGCCCTATGTAAATAGTTTCTGTTATATGATTTATTTATATATTTGGGCGAATAAAAAAATAATAATAGCCTATTTCAAACGCCAGATAAGGATAAATAAGGATATAAACAGGAAATCCAGTTTTATGAAGTGGAAGCACTTGTTATGATTCGGAATTTCCAATTTCTGTGATTTCCAAATGTGTTTTGTGATTCCAAATGTGTTTTGTGGTTTCCAAATGTGTTTTGTGATTCCAAAAGTGTTTTGTGATTTCTAAATGTGTTTTGTGATTCCAAAAGTGTTTTGTGATTTCTAAATGTGTTTTGTGATTTCCAAATGTGCATAGGCGTACGGGACG